TTTCCTTCTCCACCCTGCTCAGGAAGGTAATTGACATTGATATTCCCCAGTCGCTGCTCATAAACCTCAATGTGCCCACCTCCCTGTCCCTTACCCTGAAGGCTTGTGACCTTCTGCAGCTCCCCTTCCCAGAAGTTTGGCAACCCATCATCTCTGATCTCACTGTGTTGGAGATGTTTGTCAGAGAGGCTTCAAGAAAGCCAAGGAGCAGGCCACTGGATGGAAAAACTCTGTCAGCGTGAAAGAGTAGAGCACAGGAGGATGGGAGGATAGGAGCTTGACTCCTTGGACCCCTCAGCACAGCCGGGAGACTGCTTTTTTTCTTTTTTCCTCTTTGAACCTCAGGTGCACACCACCGGATGAATCGTAATCCCAATTTTCCACCGTTGGCCCACACGGGGCCCCCTTGTAACTCCAGCTAGGTAGATGGCTTTAACACTGTAGTAAGCCCCCATAACTCACCACCCCAAACAAATGCTGCATCTAACCAGGAGATCCCCTGCCCTCACACCTACATTCCCTCCCCCTGCTGAGGTAGCTGGGCAAGTCTCTTATGTTTCAGAGTTCAACAAATATTGATTCTACGTCTTTGCCAGGCCAGGAAACGTGCTAGAAGCCCCCTGGAAAGTAAACCTCAACCCAAACCCCATGTTTATCATATCCTTGCTTCCTTATGAAAAAGATTGTGTTACATGTAATCTTTTGGGGATTTACTTTTTACCTTAATGTTAAATTACTAATGCCCCATCCATGTGATTTTATGGTGCCATAGTTCATTTGTTTTGATTGCAGCATAATATTCCAATGTGTGAATGTACCAGAGTCAGCTTCTTCAAGGCTGACCAACCAAGATATTTTCCTTAATTCTTTCACTCAACAAATATTAAGGGCACCTGGGTGGCTCAGATGGTTAAGCGTCTGCCTTCGGTTCAGGTCATGATCCCAGGGTCCTGGGATCGAGCCCTGTGTCAAGCTCCATGCTCGGCGGGGAATCTGCCGAGTCCCACATCGGGCTCCCTGCTCAGTGGGGGCTCCCTGCTTCTCCCTCTGCCTCTCTCTCTCTCTCTCTCTCTGTCTCTTATGAATAAATAAATAAAATCTTTAAAAAAAAAAAACAAATATTAAATACCCACTCTAGGGGCACCTGGGTGGCTCAGTTAGTTAAGCGTCTGACTTCGGCTCAGGTCATGATCTCAGGGTCCTGGGATCGAGCCTTGTGTCAGGCTCCATGCTCGGCAGGGAATCTGCTTCTCCTTTTCCCTTTGCCCCTCGCCCCACTCATGCTCATGCTCTCTCACGCTCTCTCTCAAATAAATCTTTTTTAAAATAAATAAATACCCGCTCTATGCCAGGTACTGTAGGAGACACCAGGGATGCCCTAATTACCAATTAGTCACAGTCTCTGACATTCTAACTTGTAGTTTTGATTTATTTTCTCTGTTTTCAGGTGTGGGATGTTTTCTGTATAAGTACTATTCAGTGGATCGCAATCGAAAACATATTAGCTAAAGGGGTACTGAGGTCACTTCTGTTGACAGATGAGGAATCAAGAAAGTGCAGGCTGTAAGCCTCTTTTGTTCCCTCTGTGTCTCGGCCTCCAGCATAATGCCAGGCCCATCAAAGGCATACAGTCAATATTTGCTGAATTAATAATAAACAAGAGACTTGCCCTACCTACCTCAACTAATGCAGGCACGTGACCACAGGCAGACTCAGTGAGAAAGAATGAATGGATGGGGAGGGGCCACTCAGTGGATGCTCCTGACACCCCTCCAACCTGCCCCTCCTGCAGCCTTCACATCTTGGCAAATACCCTCCTACCCGCTCCCTGAAGACCGAAGAGCATCCAATCGGCTTATGAGGCCTGCTGCTTTGACCTTCCAAGCACGGGTATCTTTTCCCACCACCAGCCCCCTTCTCCTTCCTCTTGTCCTTGCCGATCTTTGTTCTGTCTCTCCAACACCAAGCTTGCTCCTTCCCCCCTGGCATCCAGATCTCAGCCCAGGAGCTGTCCCTAACCACCCTAACCCCTTCCCTAGGCCTCTGGCTCTAAGTATCCACCAGGCACTGGCTCCCATCACCCACTTCACTCTGCATGGCACTCATCACTCCAGCTTTATCTGCTCACACCTGTCCTCCCCTCTTCCCCCCACTCCCCACCCATCAGAGGTGAGGGCAGGGCCTGACCTGGCCTGCCTGCGCACTTCTCCCATCCTACTGCACTTATTTCTTATTTGTCTTTGAATCCACAGCTCCTAGAGCAGGACCTTGTCAAATAGTTCATTGAATACTTAATTATGTGGTGCTAACGATACTGGGTATCAGACAATTGGGATCCTTTTCAGCCTTGAATCTGAGTCAGACAAAAGAATTTTGTAAACTCTTACACGAGGACTGTGTATAGATTAAATACTGTTGATACCATTATTACCTAACTCGGCAGCCATTGCAACGCAGTGTTGTAAGACTTGTTCTCATCTTTACCCTGGAAACAGTCCCCCCTCCAGGCCCTGGAGATGGCAAAGGACAGGTGGCTAGGAATGATCCACAGGGCAGAGCCCAGAGTCCCATTCCGTTTAACAGCATCTATCTGGTGTTTCCCGAGTACAAGCCCAGTGCAGAACTCTGAGGGCTCAAAGGCCACAAGAAACAAGGACAACTGCCCAGTAGAAAGTTCTGCAGCAAATGCTGGGGGGCCCAGGAGGGAAGGGAGCTCGCCTGTGTGAGCCAGGCCCTCCTGCTACATAGCTCACTTAAACCTCACAGTAGCACTGTGAAGTAAGTACCAGCTTCCCCACTTTACAGAGGGAGAACATGAAGCTCAGAGAGGTTAACTCTCTCACACCCAAGACTCACAGTTAATAAGACACAGAACCTATATTCCAACTCAGCCCCCAGAGACTCCAGGGCCCGCTGTCTCTGGAACATCCCCAAGCCACCCAAGGCCTCATGACACTGAAGGCCAATGCCAGGCACGTCCCTCCAGTGGATTACAGAGTTCGGGAGGAAAGGAAGGAGCTCCTTCTCCCAATGACTATGTCTGCCACATTCAGCCATGGAAGCAAACACCCCGGGATACCCCCTCCCCGCTGCCACCAACCAGACCTAATCTGGGACACCCACCCAGGGGTTGGAAGCAGCCCTGTCACCCCCAAATGGGACTCAAAAACTTCCCAGGCGGAAATGTTCAGATTCCTGCAGCTCCTCCACCTACCAGTGGCACCATCGTGACCTCAGCACCACGGGCAGCCAAGTCCCAGGATGGAGACCCAGATCCCAGGCAGGCCTGCTACTCACCCAGCCCCAGGACTCCAGCTCCTGTAGCAGCTGGAAAGGCAGCAAAGAGAAGAGAGCTTTCTGGGAGGCACGAGAGTGAGGCATGAGCCTTGGCAGTCCCCTCCCCTTACCCTTTGCTTTGCAGGCAAGGGGGCGAATGGACTTCGTATGTAAGCCTTGCGTGCACAGCTCCTGTTTGTGACCCTATGTTGCTGTGTGTGTGCTGAGTGCACACATGCAGTGGTGTAACTGGAAGAACAGAGGCTTGTGTTTGTGTATGTGTGTCCATAGTGACCTAAGAGTACACCTGCAGAAGTACCACAGTGCTCTGGTAGTGTTTTGTCTTTGTTTGCTGTTAAGGATAACATACATTCAATAAAGTACTCGAATCTAAAGTGTACCCCCCAGTGAATATTAAACATACGTACCCCCATGTAACCAACACTTAGATCAAGATCTATAAGTTTTCCAACATTCCAGAAGTTTCCATTGTGCTGCTTCCAATAACTGCCCCACCTCCCCAGTGGTAATCACTATTCTGACTTGTATCGCCATAGATTAACTTTACCTTTTAAAATCTATATATATGAAATCAGACAGAGTATACTCTTTTGTGTCTACTTTCTTTCCTTCATTATTATGTCTATGAGAGTCATCCCCATAGGTCATTGCACTTTAGCACTAGGTTATATTTGTCTATTGTTAAAATATATTCCATCATATGAATATACCACAATTTATCTACTCCACCAGTGATGGACATTTGGGTTTTTCCAATTTTTAGCTATTATGAATGCAGTTACTACAAATATTTGTGTACAGATATTTCACTAGACACATGCACTCATTTCTCCTGGCTAATTCCTGGGTCACAGAATCCTAGAATAGCCACATAGTTAGATTTAGCAGATTCAGCCGTTTCCCAAAGTATCTGTACTAATTTATACTCCTGACAACAGTGTATAAGAGTTCCAATATTCCACATCCTCATCAATACTTAGTATTGTCAGTTTTTTAAATTTTAGCCATTCAGGTGTCTATGCAGAGATATGTCATTGTGGTCGTCAATTTGCATTTGCCTGATGAGCAATGATACTGAGCATCTTTTGGCACTGATTGGCCACTGAAGTACCCCCTTTTGTGAAGTGTCTAAGTTTTTACAGAACTAAGACATCAAAGTAGACAAATGGTTGACCAAAACAGACAGCTGAGCAGAATCATTCTAAGAAACTCAGCAATACAACAACCCAGCAGCCTAACATTTCCACAATTGCTAACTAGTTGTTAAAATTAGTAAGCTAGTAATACCAGGTAATATTGATGCATAACTGAATTTTTATATATATATACATATATATATATGTGTGTGTGTGTATGTATTTTATTATTTGACAGAGAGAGAGAGAGAGACAGTGAGAGAGGGAACACAAGCAGGGGGAGTGGGAGAGGGAGAAGCAGGCTTCCTGCTGAGCAGAGAACCCGATGCAGGGCTCGATCCCAGGACCCTGGGATCATGACCTGAGCCAAAGGCAGACGCTTAATGACTGAGCCACCCAGGAGCCCCTGAATTTTATATTTTGAGCCAGTGAGATATCACTGAGCCCCCCAACTTAGATTCAGCAGAGAGAAGGGGATGCAAATAAGAACAAAGAGCCTCCCCTGGGTCCTTAGCCCCAACCTGAGAGGTTCCCTCACTCAACTCACTGTTTTTCCTTCAATTACAGGATCCTGACAGCAATCAACCCCTGAACAGCCTTGGTAAGCTCAGGTCCAGCTTTGCCTTGTCCACCTCAGCCTCCAAGTTTCAACCAGTTACCAAACAGATACTATACCCCTGTTGCATGGCCTTTACCACCACCACTAAGGGCTAAATGCTGTGGAAGATCTCCATCCACCCACCCATTCATCATTCAATAAAAAATGTATTAAGCAACTATAAGGTCCAGGATAATTCTAAAAGTAGGAAACATGGTCTCCAGGGAAATAGGACCAACAAACCTAAAACCCCAAGAGCAATGATTCTCCAAACCATTCATTCAGTTACTCACTTTCTTATTCATTCAACAACTCTGTGAGTGCCTGACACGTGCCAGGTTCCAGGTTAGACACTGAACTAAAACAGGAAGTAAGAAAGCCAGAGTCCCTGCCCTCATGGAGTTGCCAGTCTGACCCACTTGCATGGAACATGCTGGACAAAGGTATTTTCCCTGGTAGACTAGAAAATGATAGTGTTTGCCTCATTTACGGAAGAAGAATAATTTAAGAGATGAAGTGTTTCCAAATTTAAGGTTTTGGTTTTTTTCCCCTCCCATTCCATTTTGTTAAACCATTGAGAGCTATTCCTGACGCTAACCTGCTGGATCAGCAAAGCACAAACTAATATGACAGATCCACAAAGAAATAACCGATCCCACTTACTTCAACAATTTCAGGGCCCCACGTTAATAATGATCACAAACAATGTAATCTTCCGCAAGTAAGATGGTGCCTAGTTTACGCTCCGGAATTCAATAGACCGGTAGACCCCCGTGTCCCCAGAGAACACCAGACATCCAAGAGCTCCACCACCCGTGTAAGCCTGAGAACCACCAAACCAGAAAACAAGTTAGATTTGCTACCAATGCCAACATGAAGGGAGCTCGAGGAGCGATCAGTGCCAAGCGATCAGAGATAACAGCGTCATGGGGTCAGGCAAGCTTTGACAAAGTCAAAGTAAACTATCACGGAACAGAAGGAAGTGATGAGGGTTTCAGTGGTGAAGGGACGAGCAGGAGCAAAAGTTCAAAGACAGGAATGAAGGCAGGTGCACAAGGACCAGGGCAGAAACTGCCCATGTGGCACCGAGGACCGGCGAGGATTAGCAGTGGGAAGTCCACGTGGCCCCAAATCCTAGGGGCTTTGCAAGTCTGGAGAAGAGTGTGGTCTAGATCCAGAAGTCACGGAGGGTTCTCGGGCAGGGATGTGACAGGATGACAGCAATACGCTGGGAGGCTCTGTCCCACAGCGGTGGGCAGGACTGGCTGGAGGAAGGAACAGGGGCAGGCAGGGAGGCTCTTCACATAGCTCATGGTGGCTTTGTCAACTTTACGTATGAAACGTAAACCAAGAAAAACCTACCCTTCCTGATGCTGTCCTCCCTGAGAACATCAGGGAGGCAGAGACATGGGGACCTGGACAGGGGAACCCCTTGAGGGGCTCCCAAGAAATGATGCACCTCTGAGAAAACCAGCCCACCTCACGCCCCCAGCAGAAGGTGCTCAATAAATAAATCACGCATGAAGGAGGAATGAACAAAATGTCGCCAGGTCCACGGCCACGGGACAGAGGACAGCTCTGTACACTGACTGCTGGAACCTTCAAACCGTACCTGGTAAGACTGAGAAGCTCCCTGGTGCCTGCTCCTGCCCCTGATGGGCAACACCAGCCCACACCCCACGGGCCTGTGCTATGTGTCTGAGGCTTAAACTCTCCTTCTGAGGAGACGCAACATTTCCTACGCTTTCCCTTTCAACAATGATACCAGCACTTCCTGAGCACCAGTCTATGGCTGGATGCCATTCTCTGCTTTTGAAGAGCTGAGGAAAGCGATCGAGACAGACATATAACCAGCCCTCATTCGAGCCAGGAAACAAGACCTGTAACAAAGGCGGAAAGGATGTGCTTAAGAGATCAAGCAAAGAGCAATGCATGTATTCACTCAACAAATACCTGCTGAAGCACCTGGGACTCAGCAGTGACCAAAAAAAAAAAAAAGAAGAAGAAGAAGAAGAGAAAAATTCCTTATCTTCACAGAGTCTTCATTTCAGGCAAGGATGGGAGGAGATGGAAAATATATATAATATATAAAATATAGAGTATGTTAAGAGCTGATGTTTTTAAAAATGGGGAAGGAGGACAGGAAATATTGGAAGATTATCTTTTAAAAAGGGAGGTCAAGAAGGCCTCACAAGGAAGGTGACAGACCAAGCCATGGGGAGGTGAGGGGAAGAAAGCTGACCTATCGCCTTCCAGGGACTCAAGGCTGCCAGACTTCCTGCCCTAGCTCGCCCTGGAGAAGTTCCTTGCACCTGCCCCAGCTTATTGCCTGCAAGGAAAGGGGATGCAAGAGGACCTATCTCGGATACTTCCTGAGAATTTAACTTTTCAAATCTTGGTCCTGGTACCATCTCCTTGGATAACCATATGAAAGAGACAATATAGTTATTATTACCTCTGTTTGAGGCATCTCTAGGCTCCTACCTGGTCTCCCTACCCCCAAACTCTTATTCCCATCCACCTCCTTCCTTATGAAAGATTCACCTTTCTAAATATGAAGGTTATCACGTCTCTCTACTGCTCAAAGCCTCCCATGGCTCCACGCTGCCTTCCCGATAAAATCCAAATTCCCGGCATGGTGTTCAAGACTCTCCACAGACTGACACTGCCAGTCCTGCCTCCACAATACGCACTTGCTCATGTTACATCTCAGACACACGAGGAGCTCACAGTCAACACCCCCAGGCCTCTGCCCAGCTGGTCCAGCCCCCATCCCACCCCATCGCCACCTACAGGGGCCCATTTAAGTGTTTTGATGGTGTCTGGTGGTCCTGGCAACTCTGTCCTTGGGTGCTTCTTTCCCCAAACTGGCATCTCCTTAACGATGAGGACCATTCTAGGGACTCACCATCTGTTGAGTTGAGTTGGAGATGGAGGCCCTTAGGAGGTGTTCATTCACAAGCATGTATCAGGGCTCTACTAAGCATGGAATGCGTTGGAGGTCCCTGCCCTCAACCTTACAGTTTAACCAAAAGATAAGTCAGAAAAGAGGACAAATGATAGTAAAGTAAACGAGTACTTGCCTCTCCCGGGGCAGATGCAGGGCAAACCTGACAGGGTGAAACGTTGCAGAATAGGCTAAGTCCAGACAAGGAGAAGACACGATGGTCTGGAGTCTCCTTTGAGGGGCGCAGGTGAAAGATGGATAAGCCTGGGTAAGCGAAGGAGGTGGGGTGACTGTGCGCTGTTGAAGCTAAGCCCAGTCTGCAGGAATAAAACTCCAGTGCTAAGCAAAACTTTACCCAAAGCATTCTGCGGCTCAGCACGAGGGCCAGAGGGCAGGGAGGCTGTGGGCCTGGGCGGGGGCGGGCTCTAAGTGCTGACTGCAGGCTCTCTCCCTCCACCTCACAGACGTCACCCCCCTGCGCAAACCTCGCACTCCCCTGGAAACCTTCAAAAAGGTGGGCATCCCCATCATCGCAGCACTGCTGAGCCTGGCGACCATCATCATCGTGGCTGTCCTCAGTAAGTGGCAGCCCCCACCCCTACCCTCACCCCCTCATTACTGCCCCCACCTCCCCCTCATCCCCCACAGGAAACAGCAGCTCCCACCGCCCCTCCAAGCATAACCTTACCCTCCACCCTTCCACCCAGCAGCCACAGGCAGGGGAGCTGCAGAAAGCTACGTGTGACACGCGTCTACCCCGTGCTCTGAAGGAAGCCTTCCTCCAAGAGTGAAAGGGGGAGGTGAAGGCAGCCCCCACCTACCCCAGATGATCCCTGCCACAGGGAAAGCACAGCTGCACACGGTACAAAGCCGCACAGGCAACCGACCAGGGCGGCCGCGCCCCTGCCTCCTGAGTCAGGGGCCTGCAAACACCTGAGCAGCCCTACCGGCTACAAGAGCAGGGAGCCTTTCCACCTGTGAGGTAGGGACAGACGGGGGGCATACGGGAAGCCACCCAGGTGCGCACGCACGCACGCACGCACGCACACCGCCTGTAGCTCCGTCTCCCTCCCCGCCAGTGCCTGAGGCCCAGTGAGCAGGCCACTCAGCGACAAAGAGTGAACTGAACGACCCGCTGGGCCCCGCGTCCCAGTCTCCACTCCCGCTCCCGTGACTCTCCTTGCCTTCCCCTCCCCGACAGTCACAGCAGGCTACTGACGGCACTCTCAGGGTGGGGAGCAGGGCCCAGCAGGCCAGGCTAGCGGCTGGGACGCCTGGGTGAGGATCCCGGCACAGCCCCTTGCTGCTGTGTGACCTTGAGTAAGTCCTTTGACCTCTCTAAACTTCAGTCTCCTCCTCTGTAAAACATCCTGTCTCTCCCAGAGGGATATCGGAGATAATGTAAACCACCTGGATGAAAATTAGGTCGTGCCCAAGTGTGGGTCACCGGACGGGGGCAGAGATGTGACCAAGGCCATACACAAAAGCATGTGCTTGCTAACGGGGTAGCACGGGCCCTTGAGGAGCCTGCACTTGGAACCATGGTAGCATTTCCCCAGCAACAGCCACTGCCACTCCCAGATCACTGGACCCAAACCCTCCTCTTCCACTTGAGCACCTAGGCTCAGGGAGGACTGGCAGTGAGAGACAGCTGGGACGGGGCCCTGGGACCCAGACTGAAGGAGTCCCTTTCCATCTGTGGCAATGGAAATGCAGATCCACAACACAAACACCACCCAGATCCTGGAGAGCCCTGCTGAGCTGTGAGATGCGGATTTCTTCCTGACCTTGGCTGGCCCTTGGCCCTGGGTTTGCAGCAGCATAAGCAGAGCTGCCGTCCTAAGCCTGTCCTATTTAGGCTAATATGAAGGAGAGCTTGCTTTCTCTGAGCATATGCCCTGCCACACTGGAGAGAGGAGAAGGGGCCAGATTCATCCAGGGCATGCCCGGGCAGGCAGTGGTGCAGGATTTAGAAGTGGGGTCTCCCCATCCCACAAAGTCCTGTGTGGCTTCCATGCCGTGGGCCTCCAGGTTCTGCAACCAGAGGAGGTCATTTGAGCCTCCACCCCAGGCAAGGCTCCCTCAACTTTTTGGCTTCTGGGGTCTCAACTGGTGATACTATGTCCTGGCTTTGTCCCAAGACGCTAGAGTGACCCTGCCTTACCCTAGCTCCTGACCATGAACCAAACTCTGAAGGTCTAGGAAAGATTCAGCCTGCTCCTTCTCCTGTGCTCCCTCACACCAGGGGCATCCGAGCCAGCAGACCCCATCTCGAAGCCCCTCAGGGAAGGCATGGAGAGGCAGCAAAGAGCTTTGGAGTTAGACAGACCCACACTGGAATCCTGGCTCTACAAATAAGTGCTGTGTGGCCTTGGGAAATAAACCCCAACTCTGTAAACCTCAGTGTCCCCCACTTATAATGTGAGTTCATCATGACCCCTGCCTCCTCAGGTTGTTGTCAGGATTACACAAGGCAGTGCATGGGAAGCTATCAGCAGTGATCAGCAAGGCCACCGTCAGACTTACCACCATCACTTGTAGGGCTAGCCAGGAGCGACACTGGACAGGAGGGGGCTTCGGGCCAGGGGAGGATTCAGTTAGGCAGGGGGGTCTCTTCCCACCAGGAGCCTTTAGGAATGTGAAGTATTCATTCGCTGAGGAGTCACAAACTCTAGACTCAGTCCCGTCAGCCCAAGGCAGCAAAGGAGCAACAGAATTTGAAAGCAGCAGGTCGAAGAAAAACACAACACGACGCCAAGCCCTTCAGGGATCTCTCAGCCCCAGAACAGCACTTGGTGGTTACAAGACACTCACGGCCACCAGCTCACCAAATGTTCTCAACCACCTCACCCCACTGTACAGATGAGAAAACTGAGGCCCTGGGAGGGGACGTGATGGGTCTAAAGTCACATGGGAGGCGACAGGGCCAGTGTTCTCATCTTTGGGCTCCAGGCCCCGTGTTGTCTATTCATTACCAGAGGCACTGTGCCGGCACTGGGAGGGTGATGCCAGTAGGGGCTGTTTCCAAATTTCTCCTGCACATTCTCTCGCTTGACACCTCAGCCATCTTGTAGGTATGGGACAGGTGTTACTTTACAGATCAGGAAACTGAGGCTCAGGACCAAGTACCCAGGCTACCAAGTGGCGTCACTGCATCTGGAGCCCTCATCTGCCTGTCTTGAGGCCCAGCATGTTTTCAGGGAAACACAGCCTCTCCCACCCCCACAGGGCTGCCTGCTTGACTGTCAGCCCTCTCTGCCCCCTCCCTGCCCCTGCCTTCCAGTCAAGGTGATTCTGGACAAATACTACTTCCTCTGCGGGCAGCCTCTCCACGTCATCCCAAGGAGGCAGGTGTGTGACGGCCAGCAGGACTGTGCCTCCGGAGAGGATGAGCAGGTCTGTGTCAAGACCTTCTCCGATGGGTCCCCAGTGGCAGGTGAGTCTAGGGGCTGGAGGGACTGGGGGAGTTGGCACAGCAGGAAACCAGCTCAGGTCCCCCTTGATCCACTGCACAGCATCTGCCAACTGACTTGTCAGTTTCCATCCCTACTGTAAGGTTCTTAAGAACAACAGGACTGGGGCCCCAGTACTTACCATGTAGCAAATAGTCAGTGAATATGATGAACAAATGCGGACCAGAAGGGACAGGAAAATGTAACATAGCCTGCCCCGTTCTGCTACACCGGGGTGGGACTGGATGACCCTGGGGAGTTCCCTCCGTTCTATGAAATCTGTTCTTTCAAGGGGACTAGAAAAGTGAGTGTCAGGCCATTAACCAGCTATTGATCTTTCTATTCATTAGGTGTTTATTGTAGTCTGCTATGTAACAAGACTGAACTAGGTCCTTCAAAGCAATAGGAGATGTTTCCAACAAAAACTCATGTTCTTTCTTGGATGGGGCTGGCCCAGTTTCACCCACCTAGTACTTGGGCTCTGGAGAGAAAGGACAGCCCAGGAGATGGGTGTTGGGGGGTTTTGAGGGGCAGGACTAAGTGACTTCTTGCATATATCCTTTTTTTTTTTTTATCAGAAGTCAAATGCCTATGGGCACCCGCCATCCTACTGCCAAAAGTACCTTCCTCTCAACCTCCTCCCTCTGACCTCACATGGAAAAGGAGCTAGGTTCCTCACTGAGAGGTCCCCCAGGCCAGGCAAGCTGTGTGGACCATGGGTAGAGTCACCATAGATCACCAAAACTGATATCTCTAAGAATAAAATGGAGAGCTGCTGGTAATTGTGCCAGGACAACAGGTCCACAAGGAGGTTGTTTCCAGGACATCTGGTCACCCTGGCTACCCTAAAAATGAAGCTCAGTCAGGCAAAGCCAAATGGAAGAACTTACCCCTAGGTTGAAAGTGTTGGTGTTCTATGATGCTCTAGGGTCTGGGTGTAGGGAGGTTGTGCTGGTCCCATGAGGAATTCTAAGGGAGATGGGACAGACAGGCCCCTGCCCTGCAACTGACCCAGGTTCTCCCCGTCTCAGTCCGCCTCTCCAGGGACCGATCCACCCTGCAGGTGCTGGACTCGGCCACACAGAGCTGGGCCTCTGCCTGCTTCGACAACTTCACAGAAGCTCTGGCCAAGATAGCCTGTAGGCAGATGGGCTATGACAGGTACCTGGCCCCAGCCTCCAGAGGCTGTCCCCTAGCCCCTATGACCTCCTCCCTTCTTCCCCCTTTTCCTTCCACCCTTCCTAAAAATATAGATACTGGAGTCAAACAGAACTGCCCTTGAACCTGAGCACTTTCACATACAAGCAACGTGAAGTTCAATCTCCTAAACCCCAGTTTCCTCAAGGGTTAATTGGGGCAAGTACTGGCAATGTCATAGGATAGTTATCAGGTGCAGTGAGAGAATGTAAGCCTCACCACACACCCCCAACACACAGTGCTGGCTCCTCGAGACCCTCACTCTTTCACGGCTCTGCAAGAAGACACCCTGTCCCAGAGTATATTTACTTCTTCAATGTCCCATTGGTTAAAATTCAGCTTAAACAAACCTGCTTACATTGGGGCCGCATCAGCAATCCCAGCTCTCAGCAAATTTCTAAAGCAGCTCCAAATCTTCAGTGGATCAAGAGTTATGTAATCATAAGGGTGATTTGCATGCTGTGTTTATATTCATTTGATCTTGGCAAAAACCACAAAGGTAGTTATTACTGTATCTATTTTAGAAATAGGTTCAGGGAAGATAAGTAACTTGCTTGGGTAGGAGCTGGAAGGAAGAGGCTTGGGGTCTGTGCCCAAGACCCCTTAATTCCTGGGCATCAGGAGTTCTAGCAACGTCTCTGTTTCTAGCTTGGGTAATTCTCTCCTCCCCCAAGGCTTTCCCTATAAAGGGAGGAGCGGTAAGGCCACCGATCACTCAGCCTAACCAGAGAGGAGGAAAAATAACCCATTTATTCAGCTGCAGAGTGGGGTAGGTTCCCAAGGACTCTCCCTGGCAAGCCCCCAAGGACTCTAAGAAACTGGACAAGCAGATGCTGTCAATCAATCACAGAACTTTCTCCCATCCACCCCTAAAAAGCAGCCTCCAGGTCCTTTTTCAATAAATGCTCCCAGCAGCATTACTGATCCATCAGACCTTTTGGCCCCCTCTGCTCTCTGGTTATCAGGTCTTTGCTGCTCAATACCTGCCATGGGACACAACCCTGGACAGGCCATCTCTGCCTCCTTCATTTTTGAGGAGAGCTGGTAAGGCACACCCTGGCCCTGCTCTTCCTTCCCCCACCCCCCACCCCAGTAGCCGCCTGGCCTGGCCCAGCCTCCCCTGCAGCCAGCCCTTCCCCCCCCCACTGCAGTCCAGCCACTGCAGCGTCAGGGGTGCCCAGCTCCCAGCTCCGAGGGCTGCGGCTGCCTTACATAACCAAGGTGCCTCTGGGGCTTCTTAAGGTAATAGGATCCTGGAGTTTCTGTCCTTCTGGAGCGCACTAACGCACCAAACCAGCTGGCTTCTTGAGTTCTACAGAATCAAAGCCAGTCAGAATTATTAGGATGTGATGGGTGAACAGAGCTTATCTTTCCGGGGACTGTCTGTTTCCACCACTGTCCCTCCTTCCGGGTCTCAGATTTCTCTACTTTCCTTCCTCCACCTAGATAAGAAGCCCTTCTTGTCCCAGGACCATAAAACCCGAGATGGTTCAAGGTGGGAGGGGCTCTGGAGATCATCCGGTCCACCTCTCATTTTACAGAGGGAGAAACTAAGGCTTAAGGAAACCCGGAGAAGGGCATGACCTGTCAAGGTTACACGTCAAGCTAGTGTCAGAGTCAGGACAAGCACCTCCATCTCCAGGGCTCTGAAACCCAGCACGGCCACACTCACGCCCTTCCAGGTGTACCTAGGCCCACCCGGTGTGCGGGATTCCTGGCCCAGAATGTGAGAGCATCGGTGGCCAGTCAGCCAGTGCCTCAGTCAACCTGAGCCCTGCACACAGAGCCAGGACTAGCATGGCTGGATGGGGAAGGACGGGACAATCAGAACAATGGGATGAATCAGGGGAGCCTTCCTGGAGGAGCAAAGACTTAAACCCAAGGTTTGAAAGAAGACAAACATGGATCAGTGGAGAGAAAGAGGGAGGGTGGTCCAAGGGAGAGACTCTTCTGGACTCATGTGAAGATTGATTTCATCCTGTCCTATCTCCAAGGGAGCCATAAATGCACCCTCACTACCCAACTCAGCCCACATGCCTTGTTCAGAAAACCAAATATCCACCTTCCAGTTCCCTGGCTGTGAATCAGAAAAAAAAAAAAAAAAAATGCTGGGACATTTGAAATAGGGCTACAACTGGGAGTTAAGAAAACATGTCCCTAAAATTTGTCCAGAGCTCTGGGAAAGCAAGACCACAACAGCATCATGCCCAGAGCCAAGTCCTAGGACACGTTCTTTCCCACTGCAGCTCCTGGGAGTGGGGACTACTCCCCCCATTTTCTTCTAACCTCCTGCCCTACCTCACACCTCTCTCTCTCTCTCTCTCTCTCTCTCTCTCAATCTCTCTTCCCCAACGTGAGCAGCAAACCCACCTTCAGAGCTGTGGAGATTGGCCCAGACCAAGATCTGGATGTTGTTGGAATCACAGAGAACGGCCAGGAGCTTCAGGTGCAAAACCTAAGTGGGTAAGTGAGAGGATGCCTCCTCGCCCACAAGAGGCTCACATATGGAGGCTGCCATCAGGGCTGTAGGCAGCTACCCTGAGCAGGTGCAGCAAGGGGAATGTAAGCCAGACCACAGGAAGAACTCCAGGCCATGCAGACTGTCAGATACCAAGAACTAGAGAATCAGATTTCTGAGAGGTTTTCTGGATTGACTCCCTTTTTTACATAAAACCGACAGCTGGGCAAAGTGTGCTGTCCACATGTTGTTGGTGGCCTTTTCATCCAAGAGTAAAATCAAAAATTTTCCTACCACTTTATGCTCCCAATTAAACCCAATAAGGCAAGATTCCCAAGGCCACTTTGTCCTTCCCAGCCACTCACCCAGGCCAGAGTAAGACCTCTCCACGTTCCCAGCTCGCCAGAGAAAAGGCCGCATGGCCTTTGGCAGCGGTCTGTTCTTCTGCCTCCCCACTGTGCATGAGAGCTCAGCAGCTAGATAAAAATGGTCACATTGCAGCAGAGAGCCCCGAAGAAGATTCTGGCTCCCTAGCATTTGGGGATGCTGCTGAGGGCTGCTTATTCACCAAAGAGTAAATCTTAAAAAGGACCAAGATGGTAGCAGAAGGATCGTGTGCCTGTAATTCCACCGAAATCCCACTTTTTGTCCATCTGGAAAGCCCACGGTGTAACAGACATTGTTCCAGGCTCAGCTCTCTTCCACTCCAGGATGCCAAGGTCTTGGGTTGGGCTCTGACACAGGCAGGGCCCAGCACATAGTGGGTGCTTAAGAGCAGGGGTGTTGAACCCAAACCAATCGAATCACACTGAACTAAGTGGTCGTACCGTTTCTATACAGTCCCCCAGGACGTGGATTCCAGATTTCCCAGGTGTTGGGAGGGGGGCTGGGGTCAACAGGGCCAGGGGACCAGAGTCCTTGCCTCCCACAGAAACCACAAGGCCCTGTGTCTCCCTTCCAGACCCTGTCTCTCGGGCTCCCTGGTCTCCCTGCACTGCCTTGGTGAGTATGTCCCATCTCTGAGGGTTTGGGCCCCGGGCCAGCAATGAGCAGGGAGAAAGACCTTCATCCTCATTCTTAAATCTCTCAGACTCTAAGTTTCTCTCTGTTTTGTCCCAAACTAAACCTCCCTGGGCCTTGGGTTTGTAGGGCAGTGCTCCTCCAAGTGGGGGACATTAAGAACTCTTTAGTACCATCCACACACAACCCCACAACCGAAGCGGAGGGCCGGCAGGGAACAGAAAACTAGGAAGGATAGAACTGGGCCTCCACGCCCTCCCACCCTGGTCAGGCCCGCAAGGCGTCCTCTGTCAAAGTGTGCTCAGTTATCCAAGACCAGAGCATTCAGTTTAGCAAAAAAACAGACTGTGTCTAGCACCGTCAGGCACACCAGTGGGAAGTAGAAAACACCAGACAAGTTGAAGAATTGGCCACTCTCCTCGGGAGCTTATGAGAGAGAAAGCGAGCAAGCAGCGAGAGAGAGGCGCAAGGTCGCAGGTGGGAGGTGCCGGACTGAGTAGCGCCACAGCTGACCTGCCGCAGACAGACCAGGCACCAGTCCCACTGGCTTCCAGCATGACCTTGAGTAATTCACCTGACCTTCTGAGATTCCTCTTCCCAAGAAGCCCTTTTGTCCAACTGCCCCAGAGGATGTAGCTCTTACAGAGGAGATCAGAAGACAAAACAAGCTCTGTGACCCAGCTTGTCCTCCCAGCCTTGTGGAAGAACTGACCAGAGCCTGCCACACTGGCCAGACACTGGACAGGCTGAGTGGAACAAGGCCATCATCACTGCCTTTGCCATTGGGCAGTATATAGGCTTCCCTGTTGGATGTTAAGACTTCTTGTCATTATCACGTGACGCCCACAATCCCTCATGCATGGGGACAGACACACGGTGGTCAGCCAGTGAATGACCGTTAGTCACATCACCTGCCCTCTGCACTAAATGGCACTGACATCACAGAGAGATTGAAGTCACAGACCTTCCCTTGAGGATCTGTCAGTCTTACTGGGAAGACCAAAGCACAAAGGAAATGCAAGGCAAGCCTACACCAGGGGGCAGGCTATGGAAATTCCAAAACAGGGAAGTCCCCAGGGATTGCGTGGCCCCCAGGGGGTGGTGCCCAGGCTAAACACTGAGCTGTAGGCTCCCAGAAGGGATGGACCACATCTGTCCATCTGTCTTGTCCTCCGCTCTCTTCCCAGCATCCCTGAACACAGTAGGCACTTAGTACAAATTTGCTGAATGGATCAATGGTTTAGATAAATAGCAAGAGGATAGCATCTCAGGGATGGGAGTTTCCACCAGCATAAGCAGAACGACTTTTTAGGGAGCTACAAGCAGATCAATTCAGCTAGACGGAAACTTTAGCTAAGGACAGTGGGTAGCTGCCAGGAGGACTTTAAACTCTACCCTAGAAAGAGAGATGCCCTGGGGCTGCGAGGGAGCGGTGGGGGGGTGGGGGGAGACAGTGGACAGAGAAAGCAGAGTTTGGAATAAGAGGTGTCTGAAAAGCCCCTGGCTGGCAGAGGCCCAGAAACGATGGCAGCCTTTTCCTGGGAGAACCACCACTGTGGCCATGACCGCCAGGACTGGAGAGGCCGAGGGCAGGGCAGGGAGATGGGAATGGAGGCTTTTACCAGAGCTTGAGGGTCATGATGGAAAAGCCAAGGACAACGGCGTATGAAAGAGAGCATAGGGTGTCAAACTGGGAGATTCACTCATCACGGGGGAAGGGACTTGGAGAAAGGTGAGTTTAGGATAGGAAGATCCAGTTTCTGGAACCTTCTTCCCATTTCCAGCTCCCAGAGCAGTTTGTGGGCATCTGTTTGCTGATACCCCACAGGAGTGGCTGGGACACGCCACCTGGGCAGGACTTTTGTAATTCTGCATCACCTGTTTGGTTTGAAGGCCATGAATTCCCAGCACAATGGACACGCCCATGTTCACAATATAAACACTTCCAAAGCCCAACAAAGGAGGGGGAGACTGGGGGAAACCCTACAGTCCGGGACACCAGCTCCCTAGGAATAACTCAAAACAGGACTGGTCCTCCCCACCCCTCCAGGTTCCAGTCATAAGGGCTCTGTTCTAAGGGGACAGACACGGGGCTCCAAAGGGAGGCAGTACCATCCCTCAAGAGCCTGACTCCTGATTTCTCCCTCCTTCCTACTGACTCCAGCCTGTGGGGAGAGCCTGAAAGCCCCTCGGGTGGTGGGCGGGGAGACGGCCTCTGTGGATTCTTGGCCTTGGCAGGTCAGCATCCAGTACAACAAACAACACGTCTGTGGAGGGAGCATTCTGGACCCCCACTGGATCCTCACGGCAGCCCACTGCTTCAGGTAAGGCCTGCACCACGAGGAAGCCTTGGGGGCTCAAAGCCTTAGAGGGGCCTGAGTGTCTGGGTCCCCTGTCTCCCAGCTTATGTTCCAATGCCCTCATCTCTCTTTGCCCTCCCTCCACAGACCACGTCCTTGGGTGTGGCCGCCCCAGTGAGACACTGGACACGATGTCCTATGATAGTCACCCAGGGTCTGAGCAGAGGGCAAAGGTCACCAAGTTTGATCACCAAGACTGACCTCTTCCAGTCAGGAAGCAATCAGATACCCAGTGTCCTCAGTCTGCCCCCTTAGCATCCACTCCACAGAAGCTCTTCCCATCCATCTCCCTGGAGTCCTGAGAATGCTCTCCCTCTGCCAGTCTTCTCCGGAGTGATTCCAGGGTCGAGAGTCACTGCCACTCCCCCATTATAGCAAAAAAACTTAAAAAAGCATAAAGCATAGATTCCGTTACAGGCCAGCAGAGAGGCCTGCCCATACCTCTGGGGAAGGACTACTCCCAGGCCCTCTTTGCTTTCCTTCTTTTATTCATTCATTCATTCATTCATTCGTTCAACATCTAATGAGTACTATATTATGTACCCATATGCATTAGATCTGTCAGCGCCTTAGAGGAACTCACAGTGTAGGCCAGGGATTCTTAGCCTTTTTTGAGATCTGACAAAGCTCTAAGTCCTTTCCTGGGAAACCACCCGTGCACACTAAGCAAGCGTCTGGAGGAGACAGACAGACAAGTACATAACGTAACTGACAATACGAGTACCACATGAGTAACACAGACAGTAAAAAGTGCTGGGGGGAGAGAGTGCCAGGACCCCAGAGCTCAGGCACTGGGAACAGCCCCTTCCCCAGCCCTCCAGTTAGAAGTTTTCTTGGGCAGGTTTCACTGGGGGAAAGGATCAAATCCCCTTTTAGAATTTGGCCTTTCGTAGGGGATTCCTCAGACCTGCTCCTTCTCTACCACCCCTGGCCTCACCATCATTACCTCCTACAGCAGGGACACTCAGCACCCCAATCCCCAGGGCCCTGGGGACCCAGTTTTTGGCAAAGACCACACATGCTTGGCTCAGGCCTGAACCCCGCTGTCTCTGCCCCCCCTAGGAAGCATCACGATGTCTCCACCTGGAAGGTGAGGGCGGGCTCAAACAAACTGGGCAACTTCCCATCCCTGCCTGTGGCCAGTATCTTCGTCATTGAGCTCAACACCACATACCCCAAAGAGAAGGACATTGCCCTCGTGAAGTTGCAGTTCCCACTCACATTCTCCGGTGAGAGGTGGCATCTGGGAACAGACCCCTTAGGTCAGGTTCTACTGCCCTTCTGCCACTAGCTCACTAAGTGGCCCTGGGCACATCACTGCTCCTCTCAAGCCCCCAGCTGTGCGTTTCCTGTGAATATACCAGCCTAACATCAGTGAGGGGCCATGAGGCCCCTTTGAGCTGCCAGCTCACAGCCCGCCCCACCCCCTGCTGGATTCTTGTGAGGTCTATTTTCTCCATGTGGAGCACCTCAAGTGAGAATCATAGACTCATCCAATCTTGGGGTTGTAAGGGAACTAAAAGATCCTCTAGTCCATCTTCCACCCTCAACCAATGCCAAGAGCCTGCACAATATCTTGCTAAGGGGTTACTGTGCCCACCTGGTCTCCTCCAGGGGCAGAGAGCTCATCACCTTTAAGGCAGCCCATGGAATCTTGGAACGGCTCTGTTAGAGGACTCATGCTTGGGTAGTATTTACATCAGCATTTCCAACTGTCAGTTCCACAAAACACTCGTCCTTTGGAGAAAAAAAAAGGGGGGGTTCTATTCTCAAGTAAGTTTGGGAAACATTTTTATAGTAGAGCTCTCTTCTTGGGGCACATTAGTATATAAAGATATGACAAGGCTTTTCATTTTTAATTTGTTTTTATGATGTTTAAACTATATCCCTTCAACTTATTTGACCACAGAATTTTCTTATGCCACTTTTGTTAACATCCCCTGGAACATAGATCATAGAAACCCTGGTGTCAACCTTTCCAGAGTGCCTAGCCACCAGGCTCTCCCCTCTTTCTCTCTGCTCCTGGCAGACACAGTCAGGCCCATCTGCCTGCCCTTTTCTGATGAGGAGCTCACTCCAGCTACCCCACTCTGGGTTATTGGATGGGGCTTTACAGAGCAGGATGGAGGTAAGTCCTGGGCTCAGGACCACAGGGCTGAGGGAGCAGCTCTTGGAGGTGATGGGAATGAGGACCATCCCTGAGAAAAACCCATCCTGGAAGTCCAAGCACCAAGGTGTCAGGTAACCTGCAGAATTATCCTGCGCTGGGGGTAGGCAGCAAGAACAGGAATATGAGTATGTTTACAACTTCCCAGGAAAGATGTCCGACACACTGCTGCAGGCGTCAGTCCAGGTCATCGACCACACTCAGTGCAATGCGGAGGATGCCTACCAGGGGGACGTTACCGAGCAGATGCTGTGCGCAGGCATCCTGGAGGGCGGCGTGGACACCTGCCAGGTGGGATCATGAGGGAGTTCCTTGGATAGAGATATTAGTCCCGGAGAGACAATTAAGTCCAGAGGCCAATGACCCCATATGAAGTCTTGCATATGGTGGGCACTCAACATGTGATGAAGAGAAGAAGGGAGAGAGGGAGGGAAAGAAGGATTACAGTCAGATAAGGATAGAAGGATGAATGGATGGACAGAGACAAGCAGAAAGATTTCAAACGTGTATTTCACCTATAAAAATGGTGTTACCCACCCCACCTGCTCTTACTTCCCATCACGCATAGGAGTAGGAGTCACGTGAGGGCAGGAACGCCAGGTCTGTTTTCTCTAGAACTGCCAAGATGCTGAACTAGACTAGAGAAAACCCATCTCCTGCTGGATGAACCCTGGTGCAATGCCTCCCCCCGCCCAACCCCACTGACCAGTCAGTCCCTGAACACATTTTCACTCCCTCCACCCCCAGAGGATCTTCCGAGCCATTTTCACTAAAGGCCCTAACCTTATTCCTGCCCCCATTCTTAGTCATTAAATCCCTCCACTCAATAGGTAGCTCTTGGCCATCTCTTGAATGCCAGGTAAACACTGGGTTTGGGGGACAGTGTCTTCTTCCCTCGGGGAGCTCATAGTGGTGGGCAAGGGGGCAGTTAGGCTATGGTGTTACTGGGTTCTGAGGGACAAAGTCTCAGGGGCTATAAGAGCTGGGACAGACACCCAAATAAGTGCACTTCTCACAATGGGTTTTTCTCAAGGATGGTCCTCATTCCCATCACCTCCAAGAGCTGCTCTCTCAGCCCTGTGGTCCACTTCTCACTATCTGACACATTCCGGTCTATTGTGTTGTTTGCTTATTGTCTCTCTCTTCTCCGTGTAACTCTAAGCTCCCCGAAGGCAAGGATCTTTGTCCTTTTCATTGACCCAATCCCAGTTGTCTAGAATGGTACCTGGCATACAACAGGCATTCCATGAGCAGCTAAATAAATTTGGGAAGTACTGGGTTAAACAAAGATAATCGGGCTTCTCACTGCAGAACCCCTTAGAGCCTTCAGTTTGCTAGTGTGCCCTGTGAATCTGAGAGAAAGCACACCGACAACTTACTCGACCACAAACAGAACCCCTTTGCCCCAAATGGAAGGGCCTTCCAGGCTGCAGGAACAGCATGAGCAGAGGTGGTGAGGGCAGAACAGCACAGAGCAGTGGGGAGGAATGGGGAGCACAGAGGAACGGACGGGCCAACTCGAGGAGGGGAAGAAAAAGAAGCCCACTCCTCCACCCCACCACTGCCTGCCCTCCCCAGCAACCCCTGTTCTGGTGTCTCACAGGGTGACAGCGGTGGGCCCCTGATGTATCACTCTGACCAGTGGCAAGTGGTGGGCATCGTGAGCTGGGGCCATGGCTGTGGGGGCCCCAGTACCCCAGGAGTATACACCAAGGTCACAGCCTATCTCAACTGGATCTATAGTGTCCGGAAGGTGAGCCCCACTTGGTGTGCCCTCCCTCCCTTCCTCTACCCTAAAGGTACCAAACCATCCTTAGCTTTGACTTAAATGGCTCTACGATGACCCCTTACATACTAAATAATTTTCCCCACCAGTAACAACCTGCGATTCCACCAGGAAGAGCTGAAATTCCTTAGATCTGTGATTCCAAATAAATACAAATATCTTAGGGTATAGAGCACACCCAGCTTTATCATTCTCTATTCTCTGGCACAGAGTTTCCAGAGAACAGACTCTCTTAAGGAGGAGGGTAGGAACGCTCAAGATACTTCCCTAGAAAAGAGGGAGGAGCAAAGAGCTTCAGAAAAGGCAGGCTAATTTTGCACACATCACCACCTTGTCCAGTTTCAAATCATCTCTTTGTTGGGCTCTTCTCATAGTCGGAGCCATGATGCTGCCGCCCTTCCATACTGCTGAAACCGCCTCCCCTGTCCTGCCCACCTGGGGATCCCAGAAGTCAGAGCAAGATCCCCCTTGGACACACCTCTCTGCCCACAGCCTCAGCATTTCTTGGTGCAGCAAAGGGTCTCCATTCCTGTAAAAGACCTCAGAGTCCAAAGGCACCCAGAAGGACGTCAGCAGCCCCAGCTCCACGACCCCTAGGGCTCCCAGCATCCCAAGGAGAAAGACACAGTCCACTGAACAGGCCAGGCTTCCAGCCAAGGTCTCAGAAGGCATTGCCAGGCCAAGAAGGAACTTTCCTACTCTGTGGAATGGAAGCAGACTCTCGGGTGAGAACCCAGATCACCAAGGGCTGGAGTGGAGGGAGGAAGGGGTCTGAGCCAGCCCTCTCCTCCACCCATCCCCAAGCCCACCGGAGCAAGAAACTAATTGTAATGTAAAATGCACTGTCCTGCTATTGGCACAACTACTATTACTCACTGTCATGACCATTAGCTCTATGGCCGCCGCTATTAAACAGGTGCGTGAAGCCTTCAACCCGGGCGGGCTGGCCTGCGCACTATGGGCTGAGCTAGGACTGTTGCATCATATTGTTTTTGCATTTTTTATTAACATATAATGTATTTGTTTCAGGGGTACAGGTCTGTGATTCACAGAATTGCATAATTCACAGCGCTCACCATAGCACATACCCTCCACAATGTCCATCACCCAGCCACCCCATCCCTCCCACCCCCCCTCCACTCCAGCAACCCTCACTTTGTTTCCTGAGATTAAGAGTCTCTTATGGTTTGCCTCCCTCTCTGGTTTTGTCTTGTTTCACTTTTCCCTCCCTTCCCCTATGATCCTCTGTCTTGTTTCTCAAATTCCACATATCAGTGAGATCATATGATAATTGTCTTTCTCTGATTGACTTATTCCGCTTAGCGTAATACCCTCTAGTTCCAACCACGTCGTTACAAATGGCAAGATTTCATTTTCTGATGGCTGTATAATATTCCGTTGTGTATATATACCACATCTTCTTTATCCATTCATCTGTTGATGGACATCTAGGCTCTTTCCATAGTTTGGCTATTGTGGACATTGCTCTACTGCATCATTCTTGAGCCTGGGTATGAAAAGGTCTTGGGGAGACCACTGATTCTCAAACAAGGGAAAAGGAGACCCAAAGACAACACCTATGACTGGGGAGGGAGAGGATTTAGATACTCAAGGCTGACAGTAAGTCATGGCTTCCCCAGTGGCTGGAAAGAGATACTGCACCTCTGAGTCCTTACTTCTACCTAGACAGCCCGATTCAGTTGCTTTCATTCTTTAAAAAACAAACAAACAAAAAGACATTTATCACCTGCAAAGTCTGAGGTGGTCCCTAAATGGGGTTCTGGAGACATAAGCATAAGTCGTGCACTCAAACGGTCAGAGAATTAAGCCCCATGGACTTCTCTGGCCACTGTATGGGGGCCCGGGTATTCTGAGGACCCTCCTGGTCAGATGTTAGATAAATATACTCGACAATGCTTTACTAGGTTCTCAGGAAATGACAGAAGTCCTCAAAAGCCAAATAAAAACATGAATAAACAAATAAAACAAAACTAACAGAATCGTGAGCTGAAATGAAGACAGAGACCTGAAAGCAACAAGCTAACTAAAAACTTGGGTTGTCCAAGGGACCAAGACCTTTATGAAAGTTGAGATCAGAACTAAACCCAGAACCAGTGCTTACCATCAAAGACCAGCCAAGATTTTTTAAAAAAGAAAACCCCAGGAATGGGAATCATCAAAAATAGCAAATAGAACCTCAAGGACCTTAGATATTAGAATTATCAGATTATAAGAAAAACTGATACTATAGAATATTTCTACGTGCCAGATGCTATTCTAAGTGCTTTGCTGTGTACTGGGTCATTTACGACTCACACAAACCTACGAGATCAGTGCCGTTCATATCCCATCCCCATTTTATGGGTAAGAAAACTAAGGCTCAATGAGGCTAAGTATCTTGCCTGAGGTTACATATGGGTAAGGTGAATATGAGCATTGTGACTCCAGTGTTCATGTTATGAACTATCACACTATAGGACCGCCAATAATTTATGAATCTCTAAATAAATTTAAAATGGGTACTTTTTCCACATTTTAAGATATTTTAAAAATACTTTTAATTTAAAACCCACATAAAATTTACTATCAACCATTTATAAGTATACGGTTCAATGGTATTAAGTGCATTCACACTATTGTGCAACCATCACCACCATCCATCTCCAAAGCTGTTTTTCCCTTCCAGAACTCTGTACCCATTAAACAATAACTCCTCATTTCTTCCTCCCTTGAAATACTGGAAGCCACCTGTCTACCTTCTGTCTCTATGAAGCCTCTGACTACTCTAGGTACCTCATGTAAGTGGAATTATATAGTATTTGCCTTTTTTGTGCCTGGCTTATTTTACCTAGCATAGTATCTTCAAGGTTATCCATGGCTGTAGCCTGTGTCAGATTTTCCTTCCTTTTTAAGGCTGAATAATATTCCATTATTTATACCACATTTTGTTTATCCGTTCGTCCATCAGCGGACATTTGGGTCCCTCCTACCTTTTGGCTATGGTGAATAATGCTGCTGCGAGCATGGGTGTACAAATAGCTCTTTAAGACCCTGCTTTCGATTCTTTGGGGTGTATACCCAGGAGTAGAATTGCTGGATCATATGGTATCTGTTTTTAATTTTTTATTGTTTTCCGTAAGGATCGTACCATTTTACATTCCCACCAACAGTGCACAAGAGTTCCAATTTCTCCATATTCTCACCAATGCTTATTTTCTGTTTAAAAAAATAAGTATTTTAGGGACGCCTGGGTGGCTCAGTCGTTGGGCGTCTGCCTTTGGCTCAGGTCATGATCCCAGGGTCCTGGGATCGAGCCCCACATCGGGCTCTCTGCTCAGCGGGAAGCCTGCTTCTCCCTCTCCCACTGCCCCTGCTTGTGTTCCCTCTCTCGCTGTGTCTCTGTCAAATAAATAAATAAAATCTTTTAAAAAAAAATATGAAGGAAAAACAACATCTAAAGAGGTAACAGCTGAGAATGTCCAGAACTCATTGAAGGCATGAACCCTCACATAGAGTATTTGCCACTATGGTGTATACACGCACACAACCAAGGTGGAAACATTCAAATAAATCCTCACCTAGGCACATGATCGTGAATCTTCAGAACACCAAAAATGAACAGAAACTCTTTAAAGCAGCCAGAGAAACAACCCAGACTGCCTACAACACCATAAAAATACCACAGTGAGGGACGCCTGGGTGACTCAAGTCAGTTGAGCATCCAACTCTTGGTTTCGGCTCCACTCATGGGATCGAGCCCGGCACCGGGCTCCGCACTGAGCATGGAGCCTGCTTGGGATTCTCTCTCCCCTCTCCCTCTGCCCCTCCACTCAGGCTCTTGTGCGCTCTCTCTCTCAAAACAAAAATAAATAAATAAAAATAAAAAGATACCACAGTTAGACTGCCAGCAGATTTCCCCACAGCAGTAAAGGAACCAGAAGACTCTATCTTCGTGTGCCGAGACAATAGAGAATTGTGAATTCCACCAAACCACCTTTTAAGAATTAAGGCATTTTCAGGAAAACAACAATAGAGTTTACTACCAACAGGTCTTCTCTAAAGGTGTTTTGTTTCTTAAATTCCACATATCAGTGAGATCATATGATAATTGTCTTTCTCTGATTGACTTATTCCGCTTAGCGTAATACCCTCTAGTTCCAACCACGTCGTTACAAATGGCAAGATTTCATTTTCTGATGGCTGTATAATATTCCGTTGTGTATATATACCACATCTTCTTTATCCATTCATCTGTTGATGGACATCTAGGCTCTTTCCATAGTTTGGCTATTGTGGACATTGCTCTACTGCATCATTCTTGAGCCTGGGTATGAAAAGGTCTTGGGGAGACCACTGATTCTCAAACAAGGGAAAAGGAGACCCAAAGACAACACCTATGACTGGGGAGGGAGAGGATTTAGATACTCAAGGCTGACAGTAAGTCATGGCTTCCCCAGTGGCTGGAAAGAGATACTGCACCTCTGAGTCCTTACTTCTACCTAGACAGCCCGATTCAGTTGCTTTCATTCTTTAAAAAACAAACAAACAAAAAGACATTTATCACCTGCAAAGTCTGAGGTGGTCCCTAAATGGGGTTCTGGAGACATAAGCATAAGTCGTGCACTCAAACGGTCAGAGAATTAAGCCCCATGGACTTCTCTGGCCACTGTATGGGGGCCCGGGTATTCTGAGGACCCTCCTGGTCAGATGTTAGATAAATATACTCGACAATGCTTTACTAGGTTCTCAGGAAATGACAGAAGTCCTCAAAAGCCAAATAAAAACATGAATAAACAAATAAAACAAAACTAACAGAATCGTGAGCTGAAATGAAGACAGAGACCTGAAAGCAACAAGCTAACTAAAAACTTGGGTTGTCCAAGGGACCAAGACCTTTATGAAAGTTGAGATCAGAACTAAACCCAGAACCAGTGCTTACCATCAAAGACCAGCCAAGATTTTTTAAA